TGCTACGATGCCTCATGCCAGGCCGCCTGTGCCAAGCCTGCACCCCACATCCCCTGCACTTTGCAGCCCACGCTCTTCCCTTACATGTGCTTCTCCAAGGGCCCTTTCAGCTCAGAACCTTTGATCCCAAGCTGAGGGTTCCTTGGTGGAGAAAGCAGTGAGGCAGCTAGCTTGCGCCTGTGTTATAACACGACAAACAGATCCTTGGCATTCTGGAGGGAGTAGACAACAGCTAACAAAGGCCTTTCTTTGCAGAGCTTGACCCCAGCATCTGCAGAAGGGCCTCTCCAGTAGGTGAGGTCCAGGGAGAAGGCACCACCCCGTCGTCTGTGAGCCTGTCATCTACACATGATTCCTGTCCTCACAAGAACACTGCCTGCCAGAAAGGGCCCATTTCCCAGCCCTGTGGTTTAGTGATAAACTGACTTATCCAAGTTTACAAGGCTACTAGGAGACTGCTGGGTGGTCTAGAGCTCGGAATTCCTGAATCCTGCTCCTTAAAAATATTTTTTTCTGTGATTCCTAATACATATTTAATATAGAAAATATGGCAAAGAGAAGTAGAAAAACAAATAAAAACCACCTATAATATATATTGGAATGGGTCAGAGTAGTACACATAGATCTGAAAATATGAAAACATAGTTCATCCGTCTTTGAGAGGCAAATTGACTCTATCAAAATTGAAAATGAATAGCCATTCCACAGAAGGAATTCATTCTATGTAAACTTATAAGCAAAGATCTATATATATGGACTGTCATTACATCATCATTATTAGCATGAAAAGATAGGAAGCCACCTGTATGTCTATCAGTGGGGGACTGTATCAGGAATGTGTCAGGGGCAAGTACCAGGAAGTCTGAGTAGCTGTCGCTGAAATGAACATGGACTTACATTTCTCACCTAACAAGTCTGTAGCTGGCGTCGGCTGGTGAGCACACCAACTGGCATCTCTGTGATTCTCCTGGCATTTCCCTCACGGTTGTACTCTAGATATCATGTCAGTATTCTCAGCAAGAAGGGGAAAGGAGTGGTATCTGTTCCCCTGGTGAAGAAAGCAAGAACTTTCCAGAAACCTTGTAGCAGGTTTCTGCTTCTGACTCCTTGGCCAGAGCCACATCACATGGGCACACTTGGCTGAAGGGAAGATGGGAAAGCAAATACTGAGGGTACTTAGGGATCTGGCCTCTACAGTAGCAAGAGTAAAAAGGCTGGGACTGAGTGTTGGATTAGCCAACCAATGGTATCTGCCACAGGGCCTGGTGAAATAAACTATGGTACAACTGAAAAATGTAGAATTACGTACCACTGAGAAGAATGAAGGGGATATGTATAAGTAAAGAAGAAGCTCCACAATATTTTATAAAGCGAGGAAAGCAAGGTGCAAAATTCCGTATAGATGCCTTTGGTTTGAAAAGGGGTAGTCAGGGTGGAAGGGAGACTGGCTTTTCCCTCTACACCCTTTTGTGCTATTAGACATTTTTTAAAAAGTATGTACATAGGGAGCCTGTAAGCCTGCATCCGTTCCAGATAACCTCTGTGTTAACAGTTGCTGTAGCTCCTTTCAGGCTTATTTGTATGTAAATAACAGGAATTTATACAGACATTTGCATACAGGAACTATAACCCTGCACATTTTCCTCTTTCCATTTGTCATATCTAATGAGTTTCCATAACGCTGCCTGTCTCTGCTTCACCTCCCCTCCTCCCCCATTCTCTAGTCTCTCTTCCTCTCCCTTTCCTTTAATGCCCCCCACCCCTTACGCCCCTGCAGCGATCTTGCTTTCCTAATCCCAGTACACACTTGCGCCCAGTGCTACCTGAAGGTTGAACCTTGCCTTCACTTCACCTAAGGAAATGCCTGGCAGGTGGGAAAGAGGTGTGAAGGGTTAAGGGGTGAGCATTTTGCCTGTAGGGGAGGAGTCAGTGGCAGGGAAGCCAGGAGTGATTCCAGCAATTAGAAGAGTTCTAATATTTTTTGATGCCTATCTTGTGCCAAGCAATGTTTTTAGGGAGTTTGCCTACAGCCTCATATATATTCTTCCCAATAATACCACAAAGTAGGTTTCTTTGAGGAACCCCTATGTCCTGGTTCGCCTGTTACAGTCATGCTGTATGCCTACTGTCCTGGCGTCCCCTCCCACTCTCAGGAGGTTTGGATAAAAAAATTATAGTCACCTTAACTATCTCTGTTCTCTAAGTGAGAACAGGGATATTAAGGCTTAGAGAGGTAATTGGCAAATGAGAGGGCTAAAATTCAACTCTGCTCTATATGGTTCTATATGTTGTATATGGATTGAACTGTTGAGACCCTAACCTCCAACGTGACTGTGTTTGGAGATGGGCCTTTGAGGAGTTAACAAAGCTTAAATGGGATCTTAAGAGTGGGGCCCTAATCCAATAGGGCTGGTGCCCTCATAAAAGGAGGAAGAGATGCCAGAGTTAGCTCTCTCTGCTATGTGGACGCAATAAGGATGCAACCATCTGCAAGCCAGGAGGAGGAACCTCACCAAGAACCGAATAGCCCGCACTCTGACCTGGACTTTCCGGCCTCCAGAACTGTGAGAACTGTGAGAAATGTGGTTTATTTCTCCCAGTCTGTGATATTTTGTTATAGCAGTCAGAGCAGACTAAGATAGGCTCTCATGCCCATCCTCCTTCCGCTCCCCATGCTGGACGTGGGCCTCTTCATTCAGGGCCAGTGTGAGTCAGCGACTGGTCCTGGCCTAGATTTAGCCCTTCCATTTTGTGTTCCTTGAGCCTAGGCCAAGGGTGGATCCATCAGCCTTTTCCCTAAACTGAGGTAGACAGCTTGTGGTCACTCTCTGTATCAGTGTGAGTCTAATCAGGAGAGGGAAACCACACCATAAGTTGAACAAGGAGAGTTTAAAGGTTATAATGAGTCTGGGATAATGAGGCAACAGCTAGTAACAGAGCTCTAAAGACTATAGAAATAGTAGAGATACAGGAGGAGCCACTGCTGGTAAGGCCAAGATAGTCCATAGAGCATTCAAGGAAGACTCTCCCAACCCCCACGCTAGGCTGGGCTCCAGGCCTCGTGGCCCACTGAATGGCAGAGAAGTGGCTGTGATGCCATGCTTGTGGAACTTGCTAGAAATCCACCCTCTGGGCTGGAAAATTTCCCTCTAGGGTGCTGGAAAAAGCTATCCACAGAGGCACCTCACTGAAGTCAGTCTGCTATGAAAGTACACGAGGGAGGACAGATGCTGGAGGAAGCTGCTGGCTGGTAGGTGCTGCCAGTCCCTGTGAACAGCAGGAGCCTGGTGCTGAGGAAGCCATCCTCAGAAGATGGGCATGGGGCAACGGCCCACATGGCAAGGGCCTGGAGAGTGAGCACACTAGAACCAGGAAGGAAAACCTTTCCCCCTCCAGTGTGTCTCCAGGACCTCTATTGACAAGCAAGGTTCAACATCCTGCCAGCGGGCAAAGGAAAAAGAAAATATTGAACGGGTCCAGATTGGGGCACCTGGGTGGCTCAGTTGGTTAAGCTTTGGCCTTTGGCCCAGGTCACGATTTCAGGGTCCTGGGATCGAGCCCCACCATCAGGCTCCTTGCTCAGCAGAGTCTGCTTCTCTCTCTCTCTGCAGCTCCCCCTGCTCTCTGTCAAATAAAAATCTTTTTAAAAAAATTAAAAAGGGTCTAGATCCATTTTCATAGAGCAAACGTAAAGGGTGAATTGGAAGTGAAACAATGAATAATGAGCACACTTTCTCAAAAAGCTTTCATGTATTAAAACTACAGTTTTCCTCAACCAGTGGTTCCCCAAACCAAGCAGAGGAGGGGTACTAAAAGTATACCTCTAGAGTAAGGGGCAGTGAAGCGAGGGCGAAGCCTAGAAATCTGGGTTATTAATAAGCTGTTCAAGCAGTTCTGTTGATTCGAGCTCTCTGAAACTACTGACTCTGACCGGCAGGTTCCTTGGACTTTCCAAGGAGAGCACACCGCCGCGATGCTCCCGTGTAGGGAGATGCGGGTATGTGTGACTGCAGGCCTGTTTCTCTGTTAGTTTCTTAGAGCACCTCTGCCTTCATTGTCTTCCCCCATGGCTGTGGAGATCATATCCTTGTCTCTTCATTTCTCCACCTCTCTTTGTGCCTGCCTCTCAAGCCCACTCTTGTCTCCCCACTCGTGCGCTTGCAGTTCCCTCTGCCGCCCTCCTTCTCAAATAGCTCCTCTTCCTTCTTCCGAAGAACGTGTACTCTCCACCCTTGACTCAAATTACCTCCGCCCGGAACCGCCTCCTCCGGAACCCTGTCTCCCGCCCCCAACACACTCCAGTCTGAGTTAGAGATCCTTTCTCTGCTCCCAGGATACAGCCCTTCTAACAACTGTCTTTTCACCGCCTGCTTCCTCGTCTCCCGACTGGGGGACGTCTTTTTCACGAGGGCACCTTGGATACCCAGCCCCGCGCTGGCTCATGGTTGGGACTCATTTACCCGAGTAAATGTGATTGTCCCTTTAGGGAGGGGCGGAGTCTGTCGTCTTCCCTACGGGGCCCTTATATTCCCAGCAGGTAAGACGCACCTGACACGGAGCACGTGGTCTAAAAACGACCAGTAGGGGCACCTGGGTGGCTCAGTGGGTTAAGCCGCTGCCTTCGGCTCAGGTCATGATCTCAGGGTCCTGGGATCGAGTCCCGCATCAGGCTCTCTGCTCGGCGGAGAGCTTGCTTCTCTCTCTCTCTCTCTCTGCCTGCTTCTCTGCCTACTTGTGATCTCTGTCAACTAAATAAATAAAATCTTTGAAAAAAAAATTAAAAAAAAAAAATAAAAACGACCAGTAGGTGTTGGAGGCTGGCCGAGCGGGCGGTGCGCGAGGGGGAGTCTCCGGCACCCCCCGCCCCCGCCAGGGCCGCCAACCGCTGCCCAGCGGCTCCCCGCCCGCGGGGCCAGGGGGCAGGGCCTAACTGCCGGCCGGCCGATGGGGGCGGGGCCTGGCAGGAGGGGCGGGTCCTCCCGGAGCCCAGCCCCGGAAGCATGGCAGCGCCAGCACTCGGAGCCGGCAGCAGTGAAGCTCCCGAAGCCGCAGCCGCCGCCGCCACCGCCACCGCCACCGCCACCACCCCTTCCACAGCCATGCCGGTGAGTGCCTCCTCGCTACCGCCCCGCGCAGACCCGGGCCGCCGCCGATCGGCCACACGTCGTTCTTCAAGGGCTTGGGCCGGAGCCGGGGCTTTTGCCTGCCCCTCTTCTCACTCTTTCCCCATCTACTGCCAGCTTCTGCGACCCTCCAGAAAATCCGATCCGAAAGGGGTTTTATGTAGGAGTCAGGCCTCAGAACACTGTAGCTGCAAGGCCTCCAGGGGTTACAGGCCCAATTCTTCCCTGCATAGACGGGGAAACTGAGACCCAGGGAAGGGCAGAGTCGCCGAGATCACCCAGTGAGCGGGTGGCGAGCTGGAACTGGGACGTCTAGTCCCCGCGCCTTCCCGGTTTGCCCCTGTCTGCGGTAATGGCTTGAAAGGGAGAATGGGGGAGGGGCGGGTGGCTGTTGCCTCCTGGACCGGGCAGGTTTTCAGAGGTCCAGGTTTTCAGAGGTCCGTGGTTTTCCTTCCTTCCCCCTGCCCACTCTAGCCCATTTCCGTTCAGCCCTGGGCGACGCTGAACTTTTCCTACCGATCACTTTCTGAACCTGAACCCATGAACCTAGGAGACGCTAAGGGACCTGCTCAAAAGTTGCCAGTCGCTCAAAGAGTGTTTGAGGAGGAATGAGCAGGTCTTAGGTGCCTTTGCCACTCACTCAGTCTTAATGCACATACGTGGTTGCTCAGGGTCTCGTTTTGTAGATAGGAAACTAAGGACTTCGGCAGATAAAAAGAGAAGAAGCCAGTAACTTAAGATCTAAGGAGGTCTCCTTTAGGCGTTGGGTGGAGTCAGAATTAAGCCCCTTATCTTCAGGCTCCCATCTCTACAGGCCTGACCACTTGGGAAATAAATGCCAGACAAAAGTAGTTCTACCGGATTGAGAGTAAGCTGTGTTGCCAAGTACATCCTGTAGATCTCGGTCGGGGTCATGTGGTGTTAAGCAGTTTCCCCCAGGGTGCCTAGTTTATGGCTCTGCTTCACATGGATACCCAGAGGTGTCCCTCAGATGCCCTGTGTCTTAGCAGCCTAGCTTTCGGGAGCTGGCAGGTAACCCAGAGGCCCCCTGGGCTGAGTCACAAACATCTCAGGTGTCATTTCTCTTGGGCCTTGCCAGGTGCCTTGAGACAAATCCTCAGACAGCACAAAGTTTGGACAAAGAAGCTGACATTATCAGCCCTCCTACTTGAGCAAAGCTGCCTGTGGCAATGTTAGGAGGACAGCATTAACCGGCCTGCGACTGGGATAGTTGAGGTCACAAGGTTTTCGGAGAGGGTGGCAGTGAGAGAAAGGCCAGCTTCAGGATCACTCTATTCTGTGTTCACTTCTGGGGATTTGGACAAGTGACCCTCCAGAGCAGATGGTCAGAATGAAGAGGGCACTTGGCACCGTATCACAAGATGAGCAATTGCAGAAAGGAGGCTATTAGTCAAGGGGCTGTGGTCAAAACTGGTCAGAGTGTCACCTGAGAGTTACTCAGACAAAAATTTGGAATCTCAGAAGCCTCTTTGAAAAACCTGTGCCCTTGCTTCTCACCCGGGTGACCTTGGGCAAGCCGCTTTACTTCTCTGTGCCTTTGTTTCCTCATCTGTAAAATGGGGGGGGGTAAAATCTGACCTCAAAGGACTCTTAGTATTACTTGGAAAAACACCAGTAAAATACGTAGCATAGCCACTAACCTAGCTCGTCCCCAAGAAATGGTAACTCTGGTGTCGACCTAGGACAAGTGGGGTGGAACTAGAGGCGGGCAGGTGCTAACCCCCTTTTAACAAGGACCGCATTTTTAACAAGTAGTTAAAAGTTTAGGCTCTGAAGACATTTTCAGTCTCGACTTGGTTCCCTCACTACCTGTCACCCCCAAGCAAGTGACCTAACCTCTGAATCTCAGCTCCCTTGTCTGTCAAGAAAGGATAATAATGGCCATCTCATGGGAACTTTGTGATGATTAAACAAAGTAATGTGTGCAGAGTGTTTAGAACAATGCCTGGCACGCAGTGCATTCAAATATTAATATTAGTAAACTCCTAATCGACTTTGTATTCAAAGACTCAATATCCTGGATATTTGAGAAAGACTTCCTTCTCTGGGAGGGAGCCAGACAAGGTGACCCCACTGCATTTCGTCCTTCTAGTTCTGAGATTCTGTTAAAGAATTGCACAGTTCACTGAACTTTTTCATTGCTTTAAAGAACCTTACAGGTGACAGGCCTGTCTGAGGGGCTGAGGCAATAGGGGGCTGGCTTGGGATTCTCTGTAAAGAATGGATTACTCTGTCCTTAAGTAGATTTTCTGCCACCCCCAAATTGACTTGAGCAACCCCAAGTCGAGAGGAAGAGCACGGAATTGGAACATTTGTCCCCCAGAAGCCGCCTCCTGGCTTCTGACCTCTACTGTGGAGGATGAAAGGAGACCTGCGCTCTGTAGGCCGCAGCAGAAGGCTTCACGGATGTGTTGACATTAGGTTCTTGGGCACCTATCCCTGTGCCTGTTCATGAGGTGTCCTGCTGCCCGAGCTCCTGCTGAGAGTCAGGGTCACAGGGTGGCCCCTGGCAGTGCTATCGGTTGCTCCATGGCTCACAAAATGTCCCTGGAGCCAGGAAGGCCTGGGTTCACATCCCTGCCTCAGCACAGACTCACCCGTGACTGTGGGGAGCTCCGTGAACCCCTGGGAACTTCAGTTTCCTCTGGAGTAAAACAGGGTCTCTAGCTCCCTTTCCAAGCCGAGGGAGAACTGAGATTCTGTGTACAGAGCATTTGGCGCACAGCAGCTCTCAGTATTTAGGTCTCATGTAGGTCTTGCAAGCCCTTTAAGTCTTTGGGTGGGCATCCAGGTGCAAACTATTGACAAATCTGGATTGTCTAGTGGTTATTATAGAGCAGGAGTCAGCGCACTTTTTCTTAAAGGGCCAGGTGAATTTTTTAATTTTTATTTTTTAAAGATTTTATTTAATTTATTTGACAGAGAGAGACAGGGAGAGCAGGAACACAAGCAAGGTCAGTGGGAGAGGGAGAAGCAGGCTTCCCACTGAGCAGGGAGATCCCGTTGTGGGGCTGGATCCCAGAACCCTGGGATCATGACCTGAGCTGAAGGCGGAGGCTTTGAGCCACCCAGCCGCTCCCAGGTGAATACTTTAAATGCTATAGGCTTGAGGAACCAAGTGGTCCCTTTATAACTACTCAGCTCTGCCATTCCATTGTGAAAGTAAGCCTTAGCAGTGTTCCAATAAAACTTTATAAAACCAGCTCACAGGGGCACCTGGGTGGCTCACTGGGTTAAGCCTCTGCCTTGTAGTCATAGAATAAGCTAAAGGAATAAGAGGTATTTAACATAGAAGAAAAGAAAAACTAACCATTTTCTTTAAGGCACGTTTTGCAGATTTGGCCTCAGTAAAAGAGTGAAAAAACCAAACTCTTAGCTTTTGGTCTTAGTTTCCCCTGGACAGCATGATAATAAGCCAGACCCAAACATGTTCTGAGACTTGGAAAGAGCTTGAGAAGCCATTAGTCCAGTTTTTCTCAGGTGTGTGGCCTTGCCTCCCTATGTCTCCCCAGTGGGTTAAAATTGGAGAGAGCCCCAGGGCCTAGCCCAGAGCCTCAGAGCTGATAGAGGCAGCTGCTTGCTGAGTTCTATGTCCTCAAGTCCCCAAGGGATACTTCTGTGCACTGAAGTTGAGAGAACTTGAGTTGGCTAATACTTTTTTTGTAAGATAAGGTGACTGGGGCCCTTAAGGCAGAGGGATTGCTTTTTTCCTTTTTTTCTTAAAGCACGGGGATTTTTGCCTGAGGTCTTTCCAGCAAGAACCATTGCTATGTCCAGAATTCCAGTTGAGGTAACAAATCTGGAATATTTTGGAATGCTTGGGCACCTGGGTGGCTTCATCAGTTAAGCATCTGCCTTTGGCTCAGGTCATGATCCCAGGGTCCTGGAATCAAGCCCTGCCCAGTGGGGAGTCTGCTTCTCCTTCTCCCTCTGCCCCTTTTCCCACTCATGCTCACACACTCTCTCTGTCTCTGTTTCTCTCAAATAAGTAAGTAAAATCTTAAAAAAAAAAAAAAAAACACTTTGGAATGCTCCATGAAACATGTAGCCATTGTGGTTTGAAGTGAGAGAAAAGAGGGCTGTGAAACAGGTTAATAATAACCTAATGGAGAGTACTACCAGGCTCCAAGCTCTCAAAGTTTGTTATCTGTTGCTCCTGAGTAATGACCCCAAACCTCGGTGGTTGGAAAGGTAAACATTTATTAATTCTTAGTTTCTGAGAGCCGGGAATCTGGGGGCAGCTCTGTGGGGTGTCCTACACAGGGTCTCTGATGAAGCTACATGAAGATGTCTGCTGGCTGTGAAGGAGCATCTGCTTCCACAATGGCTCCCTCTCAGGGGCTCACCATGAGCCTCTCTCCGTAGGATTGCTTGAGGTCTTTAGGATGTCTTAGCCAGCCTCCTCCAGAGAGAGAGCAAGGAAGAAGCCCAAGACCTGACCTCAGAAGTCACACAACATCCCTTCAGCCATATTCTGCCAGACACAACCCAGAGCTCCTCAGCCAGCTGTGTCAATCATTTGCTCACACAAGAAAACATGTAGTAAGCACCTACTGTATGCCAGCCGCTGCTCAAGGCTCGGGTTGCAGCAGTGAACTGAACAACGCTTGCCATTAGGCCCTTGAAGACTGTAGGATGTTGAGCCCAGAGGAAGAGTCGAGGAGTCTGGTGCCCTTACTGGCCCAGCCTCCAACCCACTGGGAGCCTAGGCAGATCCCTTCTTTCCCAGGACTCAAGGTGCTGCCCCTGACCATGAGGCACATGGTTGAGAGCAGTGATCTCCGTGTATCAGAATACCAGAGACACTTATTAGCCGTGACAGATGCCCCAGCCCACACTTGTTGATGAGAATTTGTAGTTTTTCCTGGGTGGTTCTAATGCAGAAGATGATCTTTTGATGCATGAATAAGACCAGATCAGCATGGCTCAGAGTCCACGGGCCCACCCATGTCAGAGTTACCAGTGGTCTTGAGACCACCCTGTAGCTCAAGAATCAAGATCTTGAAGGTAAGACTAGAAATAGCATTTTTTTAAACTAGCTTCCCAGGTGACTCTGCTCATCATGTGCTAGACACTGCTGAAGGCCTTATAGGGATTATCTCATTCAATACAACAATGTATGAGATGGAGAAACCCTTACTTAACTCCACTTTGTAACAGAGTGGGGCTCAAAAACAGGCTAGTGGTGAGTCTGATGACAGCCGGATCTTGCCCTGTCTTGCTGCGCTCTGTCTTGGCCCCTGGGTGGGCCTGTGTGCTGCTGTGGTGTGTGGATCATGCCGCAGGACTGGCTCACGGTCCCCTTTGTTCATTTCAGAAGCACGAGTTCTCCGTGGACATGACCTGTGAAGGCTGCTCCAATGCGGTCAGCCGGGTGCTCAACAAGCTGGGAGGTAAGTGAGGGGCCCTTCGTTAGGGCTTAGGTGGGAGAGGCCAGTACGGGCAGCCACGGAGCCGGAGAAGCTTGAGTTGGAGCTGATAATAACAGGAAAACTAACATGTACCAAGTACATACTTAGCATGTGCCCAGTACTCTGCTTGGTGGCTCTGTGGACCGCATCATCTGTTCCTCACCAGAGCCATTTAGGTGGCTCCTTGGACTGTCTCCATTATAAGCGGGGGGAACTGAAGTTCAGAGAGGTTGAGCGACTTTGCTGCGATCACACAGTCAGTAAGCGTCAGAGCTGGGATTTGGCCGCACGGTCCTGGCAGCACCAGTTAATACGTTGGTGATCTTTGGTGATCATTTTGGATACAATACATTGGAGTGTCATTTTTCTGCTAACGTTTAGAAAATTGTGGTAGTTTTAAAAAATGAACTTTGACTCAAGTCGTGTGCAGAAGTCCTAAAGTGCTTCTTCTGGACATATTTAGAAAACAGTTATTCTCATCCAGCCCCCTCAGTTCCCAGCTGGGGAAACTGAGGCCCAAAGAGGGCTGGGGTCTGGCCCTGGGGCTCTTTGAGGTAATGACAGCTGTGATCAGAGTTCTGGGAGTGCTGGGCAGTCAGTCTTCTAAGGTTTTTCACATTTAAAGCCCTAGATAATACCCAGATTTCCGAGGGCTTCCACGTGGATGTGATCCCATTAGCACTGGGAGCATTCCTCTGAGCTGGCCTTTCCATCTGTGGGATGGGGGCGTTGACACCAGAGCTTGGGAGGGAAGGGACTTTCCCAAAGTGAGTCAGTGGTGGCTTCTAGTCCTGGAAACTGGAATCTTAGTTTGAAAGCATCTGAAGCAGTAGGAAAATCCTGGCTACTGACATGCCATGTGACTGTGGCCTCGTCTCCCTGGGGCCGGAGTCTCCCTAGCTGCATGTAGGCATGTCAGCGTACGTCAGCTTCTGCTGTGACACTCTTCTCAGAAGCCCCTCCAAGTATGACATGACATGTTCTGGATGAAGTGAGGGGTGACGGCCAGCCTGCTTTCGCTCTTGATGGCTTGAGGACACCCAACTGGGAATCTGGGCTCAAGGAGCACAGTTTGAAACCCACTGGGTTAGATGATCCCAGACTTTCTTGCAGCTGTATGATGCCACCAAAATATATATCCCAAAGAAGAAGGAGATACTTCGAACCAAAAGACAAAAATCCAGTGTGTGGCGAGGACATGATACGTTTTTTTTCCCCTCAGTTTCTGTCAGATAGAAATTCAGACATTATGACTAAATCTGTGCCATGGGCTTTTGAAGGCTCTTTGATGTTTGGGGATCTCCCTTTGAACTTGGACGGTTTCTCCCCATCTTTCACAACTGTCCCCACTTGGGTGGCCTCTTAAGTTGTGTCGAGAGGATTAGTTGGAGACTTAGATGAGCAGTGCTGGGCCTGAGGAATCCCAGCTAATGGCATATGTGAACTGGAGAGACCATAGGGGCTGGCCACCCCCAATTCTGTCATGTACAGATGGGGAAACTGAGGCCTAGAATGGGCAGGATCCGCCTGTAGTCATCCAAGTCGGTGGTGAAGCCAGGCCTAGAACCTGTAAGGGCTTTCCCTCCGCATTCCATTGTCTCAACCAGACACGTTCTAGGTATTTCCATGGAGTGCTCTGGGGGGGAGGGAGGGTGCCTTGAAGTTGGCACACCCCTTTAGGAGGGTGGTTTTACAATATCAGCATTTAAAATGTGCCAGTCCATTGCTCACCAATTTCCATTCTGTAAATTCATGGTATAGAAATATTTTCACAAGTTTTATATGTTCTGGTATATTTACTGTACCATTGCAGCAGGGGACCAAGTGGATGTACGGGGTGCCCACACTTTGGAATGTAGTGTAGCTGTTAAAGAGAGAATGCTGTAAGTCTATATGTACTGAGATGGCAAGATCCCCTGGACACTGGAAAGTGAAATATAGCAAGACTGGCGTATGTAGTACGATGCCATTCGGGGGAATTACTTTTTACTTGTCTGTCTGGAAGAAGAACTGGGTAGATGCCATGCTGTTTTAGTGACTTCTGGAGGCCTTCTACTTTCTGGTTTTATTCAGAAATATTTCCTTTTTTTTTTTTTTTTAATGGTGTGTCTGTATTAATTATTATTTTTTAAAAGACTTTATTTATTTATTTGACACACACAGAGAGATCACAAGTAGGCAGAGAGGCAGGCAGAGAGAGAGGAGGAAGCAGGCTCCCTGCCGAGCAGAGAGCCCAATGCGGGGCTCGATCCCAGGACCCTGGGATCATGACCCGAGCCAGAGGCAGAGACTTTAACCCACTGAGCCACCCAGATGCCCCTGTATTAATTATTTTTGAAATAAAAAGAAAAGAAAACTTAAAAGAAGCCCCAGTGTTGAGCAGGGATTGGCAAACTATAGTCTGTAGGTCAAATGTAGCTCACAGGCTATTTTTGTACAGCTGAGAACAGTTTTTACATTTTTATTTTATTTTTTTATTTTTTTTTTTAAAGATTTTTTAAAAATTTATTTGACAGACAGATCACAAGTAGGCAGAGAGGCAGGCAGAGAGAGACAGGAGGAGGAGGCAGGCTCCCTGCTGAGCAGAGAGCCCGATGTGGGACTCGATCCCAGGACCCTGAGATCATGACCTGAGCCAAAGGCAGAGGCTTTAACCACTGAGCCACCCAGGCGCCCAGTTTTTACATTTTTAAAGGGGCATAAAAGCAATACACAGAGAGAGAAGACCATGCAGCTGAGTCCATGTGGCCCCAGATGCCTAAAACATGACTCTGGTTCTTTATAGGAAGAGTTTGCTGATCCCTGGCATGGAGGAAAGGGGAAGGTGGTTGTGAGTCCAAACTCTGGAGCCTGAACTCTCTGGCTCTGACTGGGAAGATCTCTGCTTCCTCCCCACATACCCCACTTCCCTTTTCCTGCAGGAGTTGAGTTTGACATTGACCTGCCCAACAAGAAGGTTTGCATCAGCTCTGACCACAGCGTGGACATTCTGCTGGAAACCCTGGAGAAAACAGGAAAGGCTGTTTCCTACCTCGGCCCCAAGTAGCAAGGGCCCGGATCCCTGGGCCCAAGATGGACCAAAGGGAGCAGGTGGGTGAGGCCCCAGCCCTCATGCAACATATTTCATTATCTGATGCAAATCTCGCATTCAGGGAGTCCTTACAGCCCCCTGAGAGTATGCAGAGCACTGTGTTATGTCTCCCAGGGTCCCTTTCTTGACTTGGGGAGTGCATCTCATGATCATCAGGGTTTAAGTGCAGAGTATATGACACTAAGCATTCCTTTGATAAACTGTCGCATCCGAGAGGACACCTGTGCCCTGGACCTCATGCTTCTGTGCAATGACCAGGTAAGTTAATTCAACTTGGCCTCTCTCCCTGCTCGGAACCGCCGTCGGCTTCCTGAGCATGGCCGCAGCCCCGATGGTACAGAAGCAATCCTCCATGTCCAAGCTGGAGGACACGTCCCCTTTAATTGTCCACAGCACAGAGGCATGCAAGTGTGGCACTGTGCTGGACTGTTCACTATGGGACCAGGACAGGCCTCATTTAGTGATCTAATACCTCTTCAGAATCCTTCACGGCACAGTCCTCCCTGGCCATCACTGCCCTTGTCCTTCTCGAATCGCAGTGACTGCCACATCCCTCCTGTGGTTCGGCGCTCAGTGCCATTGAGAAACATGAGGCCCGGAGAGGGGAGGGGACATAACCCAAGCCCCACACAGTAGAGTGGCAGAGGCAGGATGAGAGGCATCCTGAATCAGAGTTCTGTCATAGCCAGTGGCCTTGTCCCCTGTTCATGGGCCCACAAGAGCCCCCCAGGCAGAGGCCAGCTGCAGGGGACTGGTGGGCTAATGGCCGTGTCCTGTGTATGGGGTGACGTCACATGAAGGTCATGTCAGATGCGTCTGTGTTCCTCATGCTCTTTCTGTCTCTGGACACAGCCCATGGTCAGGGATGAGCCCAGGATGACTAATGATGTCCTCATTTCACGCTGTGACTTTCAATTCTTCTTACATTATGGAGACTCTTCCAGCTGTAGAACAGGGCCACAACCTCTATCCTATTTTCCTGCTGTGTGGGGGTTACTGGGAAATCCTTCTGAAAGTGAAGGCCGACCCTCAAGGAGAAGATAATGTTTCCATCATGCTGCGGATCAGTGCTGGTCAATGGTTCCTGCATCCTGAGGGGTTCTGCTGGAGAGTGTGGGCGGCGCTCTGGGCTTCTCTGCCTATCCCTGGTCACCCGCCCTGTTTCATACGGGGCCTCCGTGTCAGGTTATAAGATTGCGGTTGATGAAAGTGCTCTGAAGAGACAGGATGGAGGGAAGGAAGAGCCAGAACTTCCTGAGTAGGTGAATCACACGGGGGAGCCCCAACACAGACCCCTTGCATTGGAGACTCCTGGCCTGAGCCTGTGAATCTTGTTCAGCGAAAACAGTAATGCCTGCCAGTTGTAAACCGTGGGTAACTTGATGGCGTCTTCTCATAGTAGTTTTTTTTGTTTTTTTTTTAGATTTTATTTATTTATTTGACAGACGGTGAGAGAAGGAACACAAGCAGGGGGAGTGGCAGAGGGAGAAGCAGGTTCCTTGCTGAGCAGGGAGACCCATGTGGGGCTCTGCGGGGCTCCATCCCAGGATCCCGGGATTATGACTTGAGCTGAAGGCAGATACTTAATGACTGAGCCGCCCAGGTGCCCCTTCTCATAGTAGTTTTTAAATTTATTTTATTTTATTTTATTTTTAAATTTTATTTATTTATTTGACAGAGATCACAAGTAGACGGAGAGGCAGGCAAAGAGAGAGAAGAGGAAGCAGGCTCCCTGCTGAGCAGAGAGGCTGATGTGGGGCTCGATCCCAGGACCCTGGGAACATGAGCTGAGCTGAAGGCAGAGGCTTTAACCCACTGAGCCACCCAGGCGCCCCAGTTTTTAAGTGAAAGTCACATAACATTATTTAGTGGATTCACTACATTCATAATGTTGTGCAACTCTGGCTTCAAAGCTTTATCACCCCAGAAAGATACCCTGAGCCACTGTCCACTGCCCTGGGAGTCGCTAAGCTGCATCTGGCCTCTCAACTTGCCTCTTCTGGATGGTTCATTTCAAGAGAACCACACGATTTCACTTAGCATAATGTTTTCAGGATTCATCCAAGCTGTACCACGGATCAGCACTTTATTCCTTTCCATGGCTGAATAATTCTTATAGTTTTTAATAAATTTATTTATCTTTGCTTTTTTATTATGGAATTTTTAAACATATGAGTAGCAAAATGAATCCCCGTGTACCCATTATCCAGATCCACTGATAAATCTGCTCTGTTTCATCTCTGCCTGTTATTTTGAAGCATATTCTGGATACCAGCTAATTGTATCTAGGCAAGCATGTCAGCAAGCACGTGTAGTACGGAAAGGCTCCCGCAGACTCAGATGCACAGTACTTGGTGAGACTCACCCGTGGAGCTTTCCCCCACACATCCCCGCAGCATCTCGTCTCTGTTTGGTTTAAGACGCTCCCCAGTGATGGGTTTGAAGCCAGGCATGGGAATCAGAGAGAGTTTCTGGGTCATAAAGTCGTCTTGACTATTTGTTCATCAGCAGATTGGTTTGCTTGTGATTTTGTTCACTGACTTCCCAGTGTGAACTGAAACGGGAGAGGAGCACCATCCCGGGTGCCCTAGAAGTCCCCCAGAAGAAGGCGTTGGCAGAGATCGGCTTTAGTGAGATTAGTGGGTTCCAGCCTACCGGAGTATGACAGCTGTGGTGGGAGTAGAGTGCAGGGCAGAACACTGGGTGCCAGTTCTGCTCCAGCGTCTGGGTTTCCCACATCACCTCCCACAAGCGCCCCTTAGTGAAAACTCTGCCGCTTTTGCAATACCTGCACATGCACAGCAGATGGCGCTTTCGTTCCACTTAACTTCTCGTCTCTTCCAGGCTGCTGATCTGCCTTCCAGACAGACCGGGGGCCTGGCAATCCTGTTCGGCGACGGCAGTTCTTGCAGAGACCCTCACTTGCCCTGCTCCTCTCTAGCTTCCCTGCAATAAAGTTGAGCCACTTTTGTTGGAGGTGTTGTCTCTTGCAATGTCTGGATGTTACTTGCTTACATGCTACGAAGGAGTTAATTACGACATTTACTTGGGTGGGGGTTCTCAGGGCTCCTCAGCGGGAGCACCAGGCCTGACCAGTGGTGATTCTTCGCTCTGGGTTCTTGGGCAAGTCACTTCCCTCTCTCTGTACATCACCTTTCCCATCTACTAAGTGAAGATGCTGGGGCAGATGGGTGATTCCCCTTTGTTTTCAATATTTTGAAAGACTTCTATCATCAGGTGCATTGCATTGCATTGAAGGGATGTTAAATCTTTTTTTTTTTTAAAGATTTTATTTATTTATTTGACAGAGAGATAGATCACAAGTAGGCAGAGAGGCAGGCAGAGAGATGGGGGGAAGCAGGCTCCCTGCCAAGCAGAGAGCCCGATGGCAGGGCTAGATCCCAGGACCCTGAGATCATGACCTGAGCTGAAGGCAGAAGCTTAAACCACTGAGCCACCCAGGTGCCCCGAAGGGATGTTAAATCTTATAGCAGTTAGGATAGTGGGTAGAGCCTGGAGGACAGACTGCCTGAGACAGAGTCCAAGCTCCAGTACCTTCCAGCTGGGCCACTTAATTTCTTGGTGTGCACAGGCATAAAATGTAATAATAGCATCTCCTATAAATGGTGGCTATGTGGAGTAAATGAGGTGACATGTGTAAACCACTTCAAGTTGTGCTTACCAGTTAGACAGGAAACACTTTTTTCACTCATTTGTGTGTATTTCATTAATCATAAGTCTACAGAAAATGACAGAATTCCAGTCAGCCTAAAAATTAGTGTCTCACAGAGTTCATCCAATTTTGTCAAAACAAAGGGAATATTTTATTGTGTGTAGCTTTATTTTATTGAAAAATATATATTTCTTTAAACCAGAAGATCTCAAACTTTTATTGTCTTAGGACACTTTCATACTCATAAAAAGTATCATTGTGTATCTCAAAAAGCTTTTGGTCATGTAGGTTATGCTTTATTAGAAATTAAATTTTTGAAATGCAAGAATACACGAGCACACATTCCATTAGCCACTGGGACCGGATGAAGCCATTGCACATCATTTAGATTCTGGAAAATTTCACTGTATGATCCTAAGTGAAAGGAAAAGATATCTTATGAAAATAGTTTTCCCCCCTTTGCCTTCTGAAAGGATTTTGGGTGCCCCACGTTGAGAATCGCTTAATCCACTTATGGGGCACTGATGGGGGACCAGCGCTGCTGGGCTTGGATGCCACCCAGCTCTGCAGCTGTGACCCAGCTGTGACCTTAGAGCCCTCACCTCATCTCCCCAGAGGCAGCTTCCTCCACTGCACATGGATAACGCCTGCACCTCCGGGAGCCAGAAACAAGACTTTGTTCCAACTCTAAGCTGCATGCTAGCATAATTTCAGTCCCCTTATGAAAATATTAACTCTCAACTGTTTCTGCCTTTGTGGCCCTCAGCAGAGACGCTCCCAACCCTCATCTGACTTTCTTGGCCACCAGATGGCGGTGTCCTTTGGGTTTGGCCATCAGGAGACTGTTTAAGACCAGTCCAGTGAGTTCTGGGAGGATGAACCTGAGGGTTTTCCCATTTTCAGAGCCTCCCGGGAGGGCTGGTTCAGGCTGGTTGGCCCACTGAGAACGCCCCAGGATTGAGGGACTGGTGCCGCTTGGGACGATTGGGCTGGGGAGGATTACCCCCACCCACTCAACCCCCCATCTGAGTTTCCAGCTGAGGCGTGGGTTCTGTTCTTTGAGGCTCCAGAGGGGAAGGGGAAGCTACCACGCCTACCCTCAGCGCAGCTGGCTGCCCACGGAGCAAGTGAGTTCACCCGGGGAGCTTCTGCGGGGGTGGGAGTGGGGAGCCCACGTGTCCACGCACTGCTCAGGGCCTCCTGCAGCGCCTGCGCAGCTGCAGCCAGGCTGCTCCCGTGTCCCCCAGGTATTGTGCTTTTGGCCGTGCTGCCTGCTTTAACTGGAATGTTCTCTGCCTGCCTCCCACCACCAGCCTGTCTCCATGCACAAATTCCTTTCCCTCCCTTACATCCCACAGCTTCCATGAAGCCTCTCCACAACTGGAAGTAATTTATTTCTTCTCCTGGCCCTCACAGCACTGATCGCACCAGCCTCAGGGGTAGGACAAAGCTCTTTGTCCACGTGTCTTTCCTGTCCTCCAGCATCAGGCCAAGCACAGAACAGGCACTGAGGGGATATTTGATGGGTGTGTAGTAGGTACCATTCGAGGGGTGTTTATCGTCCGTCATGCCCTTACACTGATGTCGTTCTATCCTATCCGGTCCCCATGGGACAGTGGACGAGGACAGATTCTGGAGCATGGTAGGTGCAAAGTAGATATTTGTTGTGAGAATCTTTTAAGAGGAAGAGATTGCCTGGTCCAATCCTTTCTGGAGGCTTATATTTTTGTCAAAGTTCCCTGGTGGTGAGTACAACAGCCTAGAGTGACCTCTAGGGTGTTCCCAATAACTGTCATTGTCACTGTTTCTGGGACTGATGGGGTAAAGCTCCCAGCCACTTGGCCTCTGTCAACCATCCATCCCGTGACCAGAGCCTTGGTTTGCTCTGTGCTGACAGAGCCCACAGCTACAGAGAAGCTGTCTGCCCCTCAAGGGGCTGGAGGTAGAGCCTGGGGGCTGGACGTGAGTGAGGCTGCACCCCCCCACCCTGCCCCGCCCCATGGCGGTCTGGGTACCAGAGGGAGACCCTCCACGTGCTGAGTGAGCTGAAGCTAGTCACCTTCTCTCTTGACCTGTTAAATCCAAGATTTTTATTTTTGAGTTTTTAAAACAGCTTTATTGAGGTATGATTCCTTCCATTCAATAAATTACACTCCAATGTATGATTTTTAAAGGCACAAACAAACATACTCATGAAATGATCACCACCATCAAGAGAGTGACTAGATCACCTCAGAAAGTTTCCTCAGGTCCCTTGGTAATCCTTTCCACCCCTCCTTTCATCCCAAGCAACTACCATTCTGCTGTCACAATTAGTTTAAATGTTCTAGACTTTTATATAAGTGCAATCATACAGTATATACTCATTTCTTGTCTGTTTTTTCCCACTCAACATGATTATTTTGAAATTCATCTGTTATTATGGGTAGCAACAACTCGTGTCTTATTATGATCGAGTAGTAAGTGTTCCATGGTATGGCTCTACTACACGCCATGAATGGTTATTCATTCACCTGTTGATGGACATTTGATTTCTTTCCAGGGTTTTATGCTGCTCTCTGGGACTGGCCAGGTTCCCCAAGGGTCTGCCCTGCACAAGGGAGAGTCTCAGTGGGCTGGACTCTTCCACCCCAACACACCCAGACCCAAACCGAGGCAGCTCAGCTGATAGTTCTATCAACTTGGCTTTCTCCTTCGGCCCAGTCCTACATCCTTTGGACTTTAGCAGCTCTGGATTCAAATTCTTCCTTCACCACCTAATAACCGCAGTGACTTGGGAAAGCTTGATTCTTTTGTGCAGCTCGGTTTTCTCCTGGAAGTTGGGGGTCATACATGTACATACGCCATGGGGCTATTGTGAGCCTTAAGATCCTCACGTGCCAGGGCGCCTGGGTGGCTCAGTCAGTTAAGCTCAGGTCATGATCCCAGGGTCCTGGGATCAAATACCACATGCTTCTCCCTCTCCCTCTGCCCCTCCCCCGCACTCGTATTCTCTCTCTTGCTCACTCTCAAATAAATAAATAAATCTTTAAAAAGTTAAAAAACATCATCACATGCCAAAATATTTGCTGATTGTATTCCACAAATGAAGCTTTTTGTTTGAACAAGAAGTTTTACCATCATACAATTTGAAGTTCGAAAACCAAGGGGCGCCTGGGTGGCTCAGTGGGCTAAAGCCTCTGCCTTGGGCTCAGGTCATGATCTCAGGGTCCTGGGATCGAGCCCCGCATTGGGCTCTCTGCTCAGCAGGAAGTCTGCTTCCCTCTCTCTCTCTGCCTGCCTCTCTGCTTACTTGTGATCCCTCTCTCTGTCAAATAAATAAATAAATAAAATCTTTGAAGTTCAAAAACTGATATTTGGAAAACTATCTGATCTCCATCGTTTTGGCCAGGGCAGACTACAAAAAGTACAAATGAAATGTCAGCATTGCTCTGTGTGGGTGTGAGCAGTTGGTTTGGGTCACGGTCCTCTATTGCGTTCTCTCTTGTGTTCTCCTTTAATTAGTGCCAGTCACCTAGAAACCTCAAGTCTGCAATTTCTAGGGAGTGTCTGTCAGAGCTGATTTTAGATTTCCATGTCCTTAGGGGCTGTGGCTACTCAGTGTAAGTGGACAAGATGAGTTTCCTAATCTGCTACCTAAGATGGGGGAAGTCTGCAAATCTCATGACTGCCTTGAAATCAAGTATGGAAGTCTCTGGAAATAAAGCTCTATGTCCTCTTGGTCTGCTTATCATGGGTTCCTAGCATCCTGACCCTTTTAGAATGGTTGATCCCAGACAGCTAGAAGCAGGCTGTATCTTGAATAAGAATGCAGGCTCTGCAGACAAACGGGTTCAGTCCCAACCTGGCTGTTCACCAGTTGTGTGAACTTGGGCAACCTGCTTAGCTGCCCAAGATCTCACTTTTCTCATCTATGAAATAGGAATAATAACAGTACCTTTTTCTTAGAGTGAAGTGAGTAATGCACACACACAAAGGGGGCTCCGCTTGGCTGTCATTATTATCGCAGGATCCTAGGGAAGAAGACCTAGGTGGTCATCCCACCGAATGTCCACGTCGCCTCCCTCTGATGGATGGCCCCAAGCTTTGAGCTGCAAACCACCCCTAAGAGGGAGCACCACTAGCAGCTTGCTCTGCCTTGGACAGCTCTGTGAGGGAAGGATCTGGTGTTGAAGCCATCTTTATGTCCCTGGCACTTCTCCTGACTGGGCTGGGTTAGTCCTGCCACATGGGGCATCAGTCTATCCCTCCCCTGTGGTGGCTCCTCAGAGGCAGAACATGCTTTTCCAGGGCACCTGGGATG